CATTAGGGTGTGCACCCTAAAGCACAAACACATGCCGCGTGTATATGCATGTGTGTGTATATATATATTGTGTGTGTATATATGTATATATACACACACATACATACACTGCTGTGTGTGTGTGTGTGTGCTGTGTGAGGGTGGTTTGAGGGTGTTGTGTGTATAAGGGTGCTGTGTGTGAGGGTGCTGTTAGTGTGATGTGTGTGAGGGTGCTGTTTGTGTGCTGTGTGTGTGTTTGTTAGAGTCCTGTTAGTGTGCTGTGTGTGTGTGTTTGTGAGGGTGCTGTTTGTGTGTTTGTGAGGGTGCTGTTTGTGTGCTGTGTGTGAGAGGGTGCTGTATGTTTGAGGGTGCTGTGTGTGTGAGGGTGCTGTATGTGTGAGGGTGCTGTGTGTGTAGGTGCTGTGTGTGTGGGTGCTGTGTGTGTGGATGCTGTGTGTATGTGTGTATGTGTGTGCTGTATGTGTGTGTGTGCTGTGTGTGTGAAGGTGTTGTATGTGTGTGGGTGCTGTGTGGGTGCTGTATTGTGTGTGTGTAGGTGCTGTGTCTGTGCTGTATGTGTGGGTGTGTGTGGGTGTGGGTGCAGGGCTGCGACCCCGCGACCGCGGTATGCACACACACTTAAAGGACCACTACAGACACCCAGATCACATCAGCTCAATGAAGTGGTCTGGGTGCCAGGTCCCTCTAGTTTTAACCCTGCAACTGAAAACATAGCCGTTTCAGAGAAACGGCTATGTTTCACTGAGGGTTAAAATCCAGCCTCTGGTGGCTATCTCATTGACAGCCGCTAGAGGAGCTTCCGCGATTCTCACTGTGAAAATCACAGTGAGAAGACACTGAACGTCCATAGGAAAGCATTGAGTAATGCTTTCCTATGGGCGGTTTAAATGCTCGTGCGCCTCTTGCCACACATGTGCATTCGGAGCTGAGAGGCGGAGGGATCCCCAGCGCCAAGGGAGTCCGACGCTGGAGAAAGGTAAATGCTGAAGACACACACACTCTGACGAACAGACGCATACACACTAGCTAACAGACACACACATTTACTGACAGAGACACACTCAGTGACAGAGATACATACACACACACTCACTTACAAAACATACACTTTCACTGACAAACACACACTCACTAACAGACATCAAACACACACAGTAACACACTCACTAGCAGACACACACCCAATAACAGACACACTCACTGACACACACACTAACACAAACACACACTAACACTAACACACACACGCTAACACACACACACACAAACACACTAACACACACACACAAACACACACACACTAACACACACACACTAACACACACACACACTAACACACACAAACACTAACACACATAAACACACACACTAACACATTTTTTTTTTAAATGAATCCCCCCAGCCTCCTTACCTTTTGGAGTGCTGGAGGGATTCCCTGGGGTCCAGTGGTGCTGCTGGGCGGTCGGGCTGTCTGGGTGGCCGGTGCGCGAGGGAGCACTCTGCTCTGAGTGCTTCTTCTTCAGCTCCCTCACACGCCGCATAGGGATGCCGGCGCCGGACGATGACGTCATCTTCCGGCTCCGGCATCCCTACGCGGCACGCGAGGGAGCTGAAGAGGAAGCACTCAGGGGAGAGTGCACCCTCGCGCACCGGCCACCCAGACAGCCCGCCCGCCAGCCCGCCGGGGTCAGCAGGGCCAGCCTTGGGGGGGCCCTGAGGTGGCCGCCTCCTGGGCCCCCCAGGAGAAGAGGCTGGCCCTGTGGGTACATACCGGGTCGCGACCCCTGCGACCCTGGTATGTACGCCACTGTGTAGTGCTGGTTTTTGAATGTAGGGGTTTGTTTATATATAATTTTGGTGTTTTACACAGAGGTGTGTTTGTATGAAGTGTTGACTTTCAATGCAGGAGTGTGTTTGTATGTAATGTTAAAGTTTGAATGGAGGGGTGTATTTGTATTTATTGTTGGTGCTCAGACACACAGGTAAACACGCTGGCACACAAGCAGATACACACACTGACTACATACAGATACTCACACAGATAAACTGAGACATACTGACACACATAAATACATACAATGATAGACATGACACACACACTGGAGTAATTGGGCCCAGGGCAGCTGCCACGTTTGCCCCGTGTTAAAGATGGCCCTGCTCAACTGTACACATGTATGCAGACGTCACTGTAATGTACGCTAGTAAACCCAATCTACCGCAGCTTGAGGCTGTGCTCCAAAACCAATTCACAGAGGTAGAAAAGTGGATAGCGGATAACAAACTCTTCCTAAACACTGACAAAACTGTCACAATGATCTTTAGAATTTTACCTAAATTACGTAAACTACAAAATCAACAATTATGTATCAGAACAAATTCAAATAGCACACTGACGTTTAAATATCTGTATGTGTTGCTAGACCTCAATCTATCCTTCGGCCTTCACATTGAAAAAAATCTCTTTGAAACTTTACCCAAAACTAGGTGCCCTGTACAGAAACAAATCCTGCATAAGCCCTACAGTAAGGAAACAGCAACAAATGCAAATGCCGGTCATTGATTATGGGAATGTCGTTTATGCACCTACATCGCAAACGCACTTTAATAAACTGAATACGTTATATAATTCATTCTGCCGCTTTGTACTAGAATGCTATTACTAAGTGCCCTTAATAGGGGAGCCACTTCCTGGTTTGGGCTTATTGTGAAGAATGCACATTCTGGACTGGGACTGGCAGCAAATGTATGACTTTCAAAACTGAATGTCTTTTTTATTTTACCAGATATTTTAGCTCAAAAACACCTGACAGGCACATAGTCGTACCCTTGGGCATTAATAATAAAACCCCCATACATAACCAATAATGCACGAACACCAATATGCTTTTAATATAATATAATATCAATTTTAATACAAAAAGTAATTGTCAAACAAGCCCTATGACACAGTATATAACTAACCCCCCACAACATTAAAATGACCCAAATATTAACAACATAACAGCATAACAATCTAACAACATAAATAACATCATGAAACATAATAAATTGCAAACAATTTGCCCGAATGATCCAATGTAAGGGTATACCGAGATACACCTACACCACCAGGTTCTGAGCCACAGACCATCTCGAAACCTACCATACCAACTTGTCCGAATGATCCAATGTAGGGGTATACCAAGATACCCCTACACCCCCAGGTTCTGAGCCACAGACCATCTGGAAACCTACCATACCAACTTGTCCGAATAATCCAATGTAGGGGTATACCAAGATACCACTACACCCCCAGGTTCTGAGCCACAGGCCAGCTCGAAACCTACCATACCAATTTGATCGAATGATCCAATGTAGGGATATACCGAGATACCACTACACCCCCAGGTTCTGAGCCACAGACCATCTCGAAACCTACCATACCAACTTGTCCGAATGATCCAATGTAGGGGTATACCGAGATACCACTACACCCCCAGGTTCTGAGCCACAGACCATCTCGAAACCTACCATACCAACTTGTCCGAATGATCCAATGTAGGGGTATACCGAGATACCACTACACCCCCAGGTTCTGAGCCACAGACCATCTCGAAACCTACCATACCAACTTGTCCGAATGATCCAATGTAGGGGTATACCGAGATACCACTACACCCCCAGGTTCTGAGCCACAGACCATCTCGAAACCTACCATACCAACTTGTCCGAATGATCCAATGTAGGGGTATACCGAGATACCACTACACCCCCAGGTTCTGAGCCACAGACCATCTCGAAACCTACCATACCAACTTGTCCAATGATCCAATGTAGGGGTATACCGAGATACCACTACACCCCCAGGTTCTGAGCCACAGGCCAGCTCAAAACCTACCATACCAACTTGTCCGAATGAGTCAATGTAAGGGTATACCAAGATACCCTTACACCCCCAGGTTCTGAGCCACAGGCCAGCTTGAAACCTACCATACCAACTTGTCCGAATGATCCAATGTAGGGATATACTGAGATACCACTACACCCCCAGGTTCTGAGCCACAGGCCAGCTCGAAATCTACCATGCCAACTTGCCCGAATAATCCAATGTAGGGGTATACAGAAATACCCCTACACCCCCAGGTTCTGAGCCACAGGCCAGCTCGAAATCTATCATGCCAACTTGCCCGAATAATCCAATCTAGGGGTATACAGAGATACCCCTACACCGACAGGTTCTGAGCCACAGGCCAGCTCGAAACCTACCATACCAACTTGCCTGAATTAGCAAATGTAGGGCTATACCAAGATACCACTACACCCCCAGGTTCTGAGCCACAGGCCAGCTCGAAACAAACCATACCAACTTTTAAACCACATGCAAACTTTTAAAACCACATAATTAATTCAATCCCTAATAACAACTCATTCCACCCCCAACTTACCTATCTAGTCCCCCATCACTGTGACCAGACGGAGGATTACTTCAAACCTAACACAAAATCAGGGAGGGTGGGAGGGACAACAACAAGGTCAGTGAGAAAGTATTAGAATGGGAACATTTTAAGATGGCTGCCCTATATGTATCAGCCTGCATATCCCAGATAACTAGTCAATCCAAACACACTAACTCTGAATGCCCGCCACCAAGCTCTGTCAAGGCCCTATTCCACTAAGTTTTGCTGGTCCATGGGCTACAATACCAAAGGTATAAAAATAAGACTCCTGATTTTCAAAATGTGTTTTCTGGTATCCTAGTATTAAAATTAGATTATTAGTGACTACTCGGGCCTTTTCAACATTTTAAAGGGACACTATAGTCACCTGAACAACTTTAGCTTAATGAAGCAGTTTTGGTGTATAGAACATGCCCCTGCAGCCTCACTGCTCAATCCTCTGCCATTTAGGAGTTAAATCCCTTTGTTTATGAACCCTAGTCACACCTCCCTGCATGTGACTTGCACAGCCTTCCATAAACACTTCCTGTAAAGAGAGCCCTATTTAGGCTTTCTTTATTGCAAGTTCTGTTTAATTAAGATTTTCTTATCCCCTGCTATGTTAATAGCTTGCTAGACCCTGCAAGAGCCTCCTGTATGTGATTAAAGTTCAATTTAGAGATTGAGATATAATTATTTAAGGTAAATTACATCTGTTTGAAGGTGAAACCAGTTTTTTTTTCATGCAGGCTCTGTCAATCACAGCCAGGGGAGGTGTGGCTAGGGCTGCATAAACAGAAACAAAGTGATTTAACTCCTAAATGACAGTGAATCGAGCAGTGAAATTGCAGGGGAATGATCTATACACTAAAACTGCTTTATTTAGCTAAAGTAATTTAGGTGACTATAGTGTTCCTTTAAGTCCTTGCTCTACATTCTAATAAGAAAACAAAATAATTAAAAAAAATGTTCCAGACTTTTCTGCATCACTAATTCCACAATGAATTCCGAAATGTTTTTTAGATTATTCCCTCATCAAACAGTGATGTCTAACGTTCCAATATTTTCTTACTGTCATGTAACATTTTTGTTTTATGGCCAGGCCACCTCCCTCATGTGGATATTGGCAAAGTTCCTCAATATCTCATTCTTCTCTACTTTTCATTTCCTTTTTTAAAACTGGATGTGTCAGTCCCAGTAATGTGAGCAGAGATACAACACCTGGAATAAGTAATAACTGATTAATCTAACTCACAAAAAGACAGGATGACTTACACTGTGGTGTAAATTTTATCAGTAGATGTGGCTATTCAGGTTTGTAAAGTTACACATGGAAACATGGAGTGGGAACTGTACGATTGTCAGTGGGTACTTCTAAGGGTGGCTTACACTTCAGTTTATCAGATGCCTCTTGATAAAGTCTTATTAACATAGATACATAGAAACATAGAATGTGACGGCAGATAAGAACCATTCGGCCCATCTAGTCTGCCCAATTTTCTAAATACTTTCATTATTCCCTGGCTTTATCTTATAGTTAGGATAGCCATATGCCTATCCCACGCATGCTCAAACTCCTTTACTGTGTTAACCTCTACCACTTCAGCTGGAAGGCTATTCCATGCATCCACTACCCTCTCAGTAAAGTAATACTTCCGGATATTATTTTTAAACCTTTGATCCTCTAATTTAAGACTATGTCCTCTCGTTATGGTAGTTTTCCTTCTTTTAAACATAGTCTCCTCCTTTACTGTGTTGATTCCCTTTATGTATTTAAATGTTTCTATTATATCCCCCCTGTTTCGTCTTTCCTCCAACTATGTAAGTTAAGATCCTTTTAACCTTTCCTGGTAAGTTTTATCCTGCAATCTATGAACCAGTTTAGTAGCCCTTCTCTGGACTCTTTCCAAAGTATCAATATCCTTCTGAAGATACCGTCTCCAGTACCGCGTACAATACTCCAAGTGAGGTCTCACCAGTGTTCTGTACAATGGCATGAGCACTTCCCTCTTTCTACTGATAATACCTCTCCCTATACAACCAAGCATTCTGCTATCATTAAATAATTACTCCTAACTCCCATTCCTCAGATGTTAGGCGAGGCTAGTAGGGTATCAAATATTCTATACTCTGCCCTTGGGTTTTTACGTCCAAGATGCATTATCTTGCACTTATCCACATTAAATGTCAGTTGCCACAGCTCTGACCATTTTTATAGTTTATCAAAATCCTTTGTCAGTTGGCTTATCCCTCCTGGAACATCAACCCTGTTACATATCTTAGTATCATCAGCAAAAAGACATACCTTACCATCAAGACCTTCTGCAATATCACTAATAAAAATATTAAAGAGGATGGGTCCAAGTAGAGATTCCTGAGGTACCCCACTGGTAACTAGACCTTGCTTTGTATATACTCCATTGACTACAACCCTCTGTTGCCTGTCACTCAGCCACTGTCTAACCCATTCAACAATATTGGTATCCAAGCTTAAAGATTGTAGTTTATTGATAAGCCTTCTATGTGCAACAGTGTCAAGAGCCTTACTGATATTTAGGTAAGCAATGTCTACTGCACCACCCTGATCTATTATTTTAGTTACCCAATCAAAAAAATCAATACGATTAGTTTGGCTTGATCTCCCTGAAGTAAACCCATGTTGTCTCCGATCTTGAAATCAATGTGATTTAGATATTCAACAATTCTGTTCTTTAACATGGTTTCCATCACTTTACCCACTACTGAAGTAAGGCTTACTGACCTATAGTTGCCCGACTCCTCCCTACTACCTTTCTTGTTAATGGGCACAACATTTGCTAACTTCCAATCTTCTGGGACTACTCCTGTTAACAATGATTGGTTAAATAAATCTGTTCTTTTAATAACTTTGGGTGTATTCCCTCAGGTCCCATTGACTTATTGAAATAGTTGAAATAGAACCTCTTCCTCTGTAAACTCACATGTAACAAATGACCCATTTGTCCTTTTTCCTAACTGCGGCCCTTTTCCTTCATTTTCATCTGTAAATACTGAACAAAAATATTCATTGAGGCAGTCAGCTAGACCTTTATACTCTTCTACATACCTTCCTTCTTTTGTTTTTAATCTAAGCCTTGTTTTACTTTCCTTTTCTCATTTATGTATCTAAAAATGTTTTGCCCCCTTTTTAACTGACTGTGCTATTATCTCTTCTGTGTGTGCTTTGGAGGCTCTTATTACTTGCTTAGCCTCTCTCTGTCTAATCTTATAGATCTGTCTGTCTTCCTCACTCTGGGATTTTTTAAAACTACTAAATGCTAACTTTTGTGTTTTTTACTATTTTGGCCACTTCTGCAGAGTACCACAGTGGTTTCTTTTTTCTGCTCTTCCTGACAAGCCTAATGCAATTTTCTGTTGCCCCCAGTAGTGTAACTTTTAAATAATCCCATTTCTCCTGGTCTCCATTTAAATTGCTTTACATCTTATTCCAAATACTGCAAAATTGACTAAGCCTTGTTTTTCTTGGAATAATCCACTTTACTAAGTAGAGTTTATCCCTCAAAATAAGCCCAAAATAACACCCAACTATTTTTTGGGCATTGTTTGACCTTCCTAGTGCACGCTAATGTCTTCTATACTTTTAGTGTTAGAAGGTATTCGGTCGTGTGATAAGGTAATTTCGAAGGCTTATTCTCATATGCTGCAACATTTCCCCAACACTGGGCTCATTTCCAGTATTGTAATTAAATATAAGTAGATTTTATTATTAAAAACTGGCAAAAAAATTATGTGTAGTGGGCTACCGCTATCAATGTCAGCTCCTAAAGATACTGTTCTTGTCTTCGCCTATTTTTGACTTAAATGTAGAGCAGTAAAAAAGGAGTCCTCTATAAATTGTTGACACAGTATCAATGGATGGTATAAAAGGCTAACCATGTGCATGCGCACTCTGTGATTGGCTTTAGTGGCGATAGTGGTTGTGGTTGGAGAGAGAAAAGAGGTTGTTTTTTTATGACCTTAAATTTTTATTTGTTTTCTATAGGATTAATAAACTTTGCGCCTGGTACTAGTTTCAGTTATACTTCATTAACAAATTTTTAACAGTGGGTCTACCCAGGGCCGGTGCAAGGATTTTTGCCGCCCTAGGCAAAAGAAAGATTTGCCGCCCCACCAGAACATCGCAATGCCCCACCCATATGAACTAATGCCAGTGCTGCACACAGTGTGTGTTTACATTAAAAAGCCTGCAGGGACAAACTATAGACACCAGAACAACTTTATTACGCTGCAGTGGTTCTGGGGACTATAGTGTCAATTTAATGTGAGGTAAATTAGAGATTAGTGTCACTAATAATATACTAGATTGCCTACTTACAATCAGATGAGGATGGTGATCTCTGATCTGGCTGCAGTCTGGCTCCACTGGTCTAGAACAGGATCTCTGGAGGCTGTTTGCAACTGTGGTCATAAAATTCAATGTTCTGGGAGAACGGGAAGCAGCTCCATTTTTGGGGGCCTCTTACATAGCTCAAGGTCTGGGCCCCAGGGCCTGACGGTGAGTATGCCCATAAAGCCCACCCATAAGGCCACTTACATGTTCCACCCATGAACTCACAGGGAGTAGAGTGTGTAGGGGATGTGTTATGTGTTACTGTAGAGGATCTAATGTGTGTGCTTACGGAATGTAGTGTATAGGGATACCAGTTTGTGTAGGTGATGCAGTGTTGTTTGTGTAAGGGATAGAAAGCAGTGAGTGTTTGTGTATAAGGGATGTATTGTGTGTTTCTTGTTGTGTGTAAGGGATGCATTGTGTGAATCTGTGTTTGTATGCATAAGGGATGCAAAGTGTGTTTCTGTGTATGTAAGGGATGCAGTGTGTGTGTCTGTAAGGGGTGTGTTGAGTGTGTGTAAGAGATGCATTGTGTTTTTGTGTGTGTGTGTAAGAGAAACAGTGTGTGTTTGCATGTGTGTGTAAGGGATGCATTGTGTGTGTTCTGTGTATATGTGCAAAGGATGCATTGTCTTTATGTGTAAGGTTTGCATTGTGTGTTTCTCTGTGTGTAAGGGAAGCATGTTGTGTTTCTGTGTGTATAGGGATGCATTGTGTGTGTGTGTGTGTGTGTGTGCCCGTGGTGTGAAAGAGCTCCCTGTCCCCCTGTCCTATAGAGCTCTCCCTTCCATTCCTTAGAGATCTCCCCTGCCCCTTAGTGGTCTCTCCTCTCCCCCCCACCTCCCTTAGTGGTCTACTTTTCTCCCCGACTTTCCATTAGTGGTCTCTCCTCTCCCCCCACCCTCCCCTAGAGGTCTATCCTCCACCCCCCTCCCTTAGCGGTCTCTCCACTGCCCCCTCCCTCCTTGAGTGGTCTCTCCCTCCCCTACTTTCTCATCTCCCACCCCTCGTGTTCTCCTCTTCTTCTCCCCCCGTGTTTTCCTCTTATTACCCCCCTCCCTGTGTTCTCCGCTTCTTCTCCCCTGTAATCTTGTCTTCTTCTCCCCTCCCCGTAATCTTCTCCCCTCCCCGTAATCTTCTCTTCTTCCCCCCCTCCCATCAATCATCTCCCCCCCTCCCTCCCATCAAATCATCTCCCCATCAAATCATCTCCCCATCAAATCATCTCCCCATCAAATCATCTCCCCTCCCATCTCCTCCCATCCATCAAATCATCTCCCCTATCATCTCTCCCTCCCATCAAATCAATCATCTCCCCCCTCCATCAATCATCATCTCCCCCTCCCTCCCATCAAATCATCTCCCCCCTCCCTCCCATCAAATCATCTCGCCCCATCATTTCCCCCTCCATCTCCCCATCAAATCATCTCCACCCCCATCATCTCCCATCCATCATCTCCCCCATCAATCATCATCTCCCCCTCCCTCCCATCAAATCATCTCCCCCTCCCTCCCATCAAATCATCCCCCCTCCTCCCA